CAAAATCTCTCAAGATTTCTTAATATTTAATTTAGAAACTTAAAATTAACTTTTATGGCCATATATTGACCATATTTTTTTATTGGTATTTGTTTGTTGACAAAATCTAAAGTGCATGAGTTTCATCATAAAAAGAAAAGAACTAGTGATAATGAGACATGCTACAGTTGAATCTTTAATGTTGTTAAAATATTTAATGGTAAGTACTCCTTGTGAAACATGAACCAACAAGAAGTAAATAGATCATGCGATGTCTTTAATATGATTGGTTCAAATTTCAATTTAACATGCAACAAATATTCAAAATGCACTTTAGTTGATTCTCGTTTGTTTGATGATTCTTTTGGTTCCTTTAGTAGAAAGCATGAAAAGGAATTTTTTCAAATGTTAAAACCATGAAGTTAATTTTTTATACTTCATGCTTTTGGACCCATAAAATACCTTAGGCTGCATTTGTTTTAGGTGTAAATGAGAACCAGGGTAACCTTTACACCCAGTCTGATTTTGTAGGCATTTGGTAGAGGTGTCAATATTCTTTGTAAATCGATGTAAAAGTATATTTATGTCAGTATTTTCCTCAAAATTTGATGGAAAGTTTACATCAATGTAAAACTCCATCTTCTCGAAACTCGATGAAACTTCTCTCTATCTCTCTCCTTTTTCTTCTTCTTCCTCCCGAGTTTCACCTTCCTCTGTTCCTATCTGCTTTTGCAACTTTTGGCAGTGGTAGTTCTATTCCATTTCTTCCTTTCTCTATCTCTCTCCATCTTTGATTAATCTCCTTCTCCCCGAATCTACTCTCTCTCTCTCTCTCTCTCCCCTCCCTCTTTGATCAATCTCCATTGCTCACCACTACAACAAACTAGAAAACAAAGCACCACCTACTACTTGGCCCTAGCATATCTCTGATCTCTGGAACATGGAAGACAATAACATTGAAGGCGGAACACAATGGAGGTTGATTCATCAATGATGCTAGAGTCCAATTAAGAACATTGGTGAACAATTTGCGTCTTCAATGACTCCAACATTACAGTCGTAGAAGTGTGCTAAGCAAACATAGGCAACCTTCATTTACCTCAATTTACGTCAATGTTACCAAACAAGAGGAGTGTAAATGGAAACACTAGATGGTCTACATTTTACACTCTCATTGAACCATCGTCACTCAACTCCATCAGTGTAAAAGTGTATTTACACCAAAAACAAACGCAACCTTATACTTTCTAAAATGTATGCACATATTGTACTACAACTCCTCGCCAGGTGGCAGCCCATACGGATTTCACATGGTATTTGGGGTACATCAATATATTCAATAATATGTGGCATCAACATAAAAAGACATGCAACATTTAGATGTATTCAATGGCATATGTGTGCCATGTGTTAGCATATATAGATGAAACATGGAATTTGAATGTATCCAATGACATGTGTCACATGGCAACATATATGAACACCGCATGACATCTTGGTATACACGTGTATAGCAATTTGTTGCATTTAAACATCATGCCTACTTTGCACTTTCATGCTATCAAAAGTACAAGGCACAATGTGCTATCCAAATAAGATCTAAAATCATGAAATCAACAATAATAAAAAATATCACTAATGACAACTTGGTATTAGGGTTAAGGCTTATGACAAATGGATTGTAAAAGTACACAACATGACTATAATACATGTAGTGGCAATAATAGAGTTGGGTTCAACTTGAGTTGGGTTGCCTAAGGAATTAACCCTAATCGAATTGAAAGCAAAGTCTTGTTGGCAAAACTCAAATATATAAATCTAATCAATTGTCAAACTGACCCAATTGGCACAGTTCAAGATCATGCCTTGAGAAGCATCAAATCACTTTAAAAATGAAAAGACAAATGGGCCTTCATTTGAACTCAATAATGGGCTTCTAACAACCATCTTGGTTGGTGGATTTCTAATAGCTAGTTATTGGTGAACTTATAAGAGCTAGTTTTTTATTAAATGTCCTAAGAGAGTCTTACGTTTAAAACTTTAACAATTAGTTTTTCATTTAACACTTTAAGAACTAGCTTTTGTTCTTTTAATCTCAAGTTAGATGCATCAAGTTCTTTCCTTTATTTTATACAGACTAAAGCTTTCTTTTGAGGGTTGAGAAACTCCTTTCTTGGGGTGAGTGAGTCCCTAATCTTAGTACCTTTTTATAATCTATCTCATATTAACTAAGTTTCATCCAATTTTTCTTCTTTAAAGAAAGAGTAGAAACGACTATCTCAATTCTCAAGATTGGGGACTCACTTTTCCAAGAGAAGACTTTCTCAACTCAATTTCATTAATATGAAATGGATTACAAAGACTTTACACATTTCCATTGGAAGACTGTTTGGAAATTGTTTCATCCCTTATAGATGCACAGTTTTTTTGTGGAAACTATTGTGGGATGGGATACTCACTCGGGATAAGTGCAAGTATTGGACCTCAAACACTAAACTCCAATGTCCCCTTTGTAATACACACATGGAGACACCTCAGCATCTCTTCTTCGTATCCCCTTTTTTGAGAGTGGTCTAGTGCCAAGTTTAGGTCGGCCTCAACCTAGATGAAATAGAAGAAAGTGATAACATGCATCACATTCTCAATCTTTGGTGGTCAAGATTAATATTTAGCAAGACACTCTTCAGTGCAAGAGGCTCTATTTTATTTTGGTAAGGGGTGCATGGTCTTATGGAGGACAAGAAACAAACTAGTCTTCAATAATGTATCAAGCACTCCAATGGAAGTAGTGGCCCATTCCATGAAATATAGCCCTCCCCTCTCCAGTCTCCAACCATCAACAATTTAAACTCAATCATTGCAAGCCCGAACTATATGTGCATACTTCAATTGGATGGATCATATGATGTTAACACAGGTTGTGTAGGACGAGCCTTCATCCTCCAATCCCCCAATGGTGGACCACTCATTGCGAAAGGAGAACCTTATTGGGACATTGAGAGATATGATGTAGAAATACAAGCTCTGATCTTAGGACTAAAAGCAGCTTCCAGCCGAGTCCAGATCTCCTGCCCACGAGAACCCTGTCCATGTTTATCGCAGCCACACATGGAGAACATCTCATCCTCTGCATAGTATTATGCAGGGGGAGATATTTCCAATTCACGAGAGGTAGTGTGTTGTGGGTAGACGTGAACAGGAGATCCGAACTCCTTCCAGCCTACAAGTGTCTAAGATGGCTATTTATAGCAACTCACCGCAGCTGGTTAACTTTTTACACAATAGAAAACAACCGAAAGCATGGATAGAAAGGCTTTGCTCTACATACTTTGATCAAATTCTATTGTCTTTTGATTACCTAAGTTTTGTACATATTAGTATGACTTTAAACCAAGCTGCCCATGCTCTGGCATATATAGCCTGCAAAGGCAAACTATCCATTTATTATAACTCCATGCAACATACTCATGTATAGTTTAAATAACATCAGTAATGGAAGCTGCTTTCATTTGAGGAAAAAAAAAAAAAAAAGAAAGCTCTAAGTTTCACAAAACAAATGAAAGAATTTGATGCTTCTAGCTCGAACAAGGTTTTATATAGAAAACAAAAACTAATTGTTGGATAATTAAATTAAAAAGCTAACTATTGGAGAAAACTAGTTGTTATGATATCATTAAATTAAAAAGCTCATTCCTTGATTGTAGTAAGAAAATAATAAAATAAAATCTTCAACAAATCATGCAAGTTAAAGAGTTAAACATAATTCATTTCAAATTGATCTGACTTGGTTTTACAATCATAACCTGGATTATATTGTTTCTTCATCTAATTAAAAAATAGTTACAAGTCTCAACTGAATTAGTTTACTATGATACATGTTATCACTAGGAATCTGAAGAAGGCCTTAGTTTATAGTTATCACAACAACAGATTGTTCACACAGTGCAACTTTTAAGCATGCAATAAGAGACCTTTCCAATTGGAAGAAAGTGTTATATCATTTTTAATTGAAAATGTCCTAACAATTTGAAACTCCCTTGAGTATATTTAAATATATACATAAATGGGGGTAGGGCCGGGGGACGAGTAATTAATTTTCAAAATTATCAGCTCCAATTTTACCTACCTAACTCATTGTGTGTATTGGATGCAAGCATCTCCTGTCGTTTGGACTCTCAAATACATTTATTTTCGCCTTTGGAGATGCTCGGAAAGAATTATTTAACTGGTAATACATTTCATCATACTGATGACGGTTGACCTTTCTGGTAGGAATCACAAGATCTAGGGTCTCCAAGACACTTGCCTTGGCTAGCAGAAATTTGATCAATAGCAGTTCATGCTTTTGGAAGCTTAAACCCTTCACTTGAACATGTTTGAGGTGGTGAAACCAGTAATCCATTTCTTGAAATGGTTGCTTTGCGTGCATCTCCCAGTAAGCTCCGCATGAAAAGGAATACTTCTGGAGCTGTGAAAGTTTCAAATTGTGAAGATTGATCAAGGTGGACTTGGACAACTGATTGACAAGAAACTGTGGACAAAATTTTAACAAACACTCACACGCATGAAGAGTCTCTCCAGACATGGGCAATTTCTAAGAAATAAAGCTACGTCATAAGGATTGCAGTAGCTCACTTCCATCAATAACTGAAATTCTGTGAGATTCTGTAAACAGATATCCATTCCCCTGAGCTCTCCATGTGAATACCGTAGAGCAAGCCCCTGCATCGATAAAATCAGGTGCACAACAATTTATGCTGATATATATATATAGTAAGCCATTCTTGTTTAAACTGCGAAACCATTCTGATTTTATGACTACTCTATCCCATTCTATAACAGGAATGAAGGGAGAAAAGATTGAAAATAGATCTGTATTACCTGAAGAAATGCACTGCTGATTGTGAGAACGTTAACAGGAGAAAATTTCAGTAGATATTCTCGTGCGTTAAAAGCTATGTCAAGTTCCTTTTGTTGATTGATAATGGCGTCCTTCAAATTTGGCATTTCGTTGGAAATATTTAGTACTCGTAAATCCCCAAAATAATAGAATGAGTAGGAGCATCAATATCCACATAAAGGAGATTGGAACAATCTACCACCTTCAGTATCCTAAACCTCCTCAGATTTTGAGCTGAAATGTTAAGATGACAAAGTCTCCTACACTTGGTTAGTTCTAATAATTCAATAAACAAACAATTGTTCAATACAATTTCGATTGATTTCTCACTGAGATCAACCTGTCTAAGAACAACGGTGGTAAGAGAACGCAAGCCATTAAGGCTGGGATACAAGATAAATGCGCAAAGTGATAACTTCAGAACCCTCACCGATCCATTTTTCAAAAGATGGTGAGGTAACAACATATAATTGGTGTTTCCAGCTGAGAAATCTAGATCGAGCTCTTCAACTTCTTTCATGGTTGCAAAATTAATCCATTCACGAACCATCGAGAACTCCTTGATTGGATTAATAAAAAGTCGGAACGTATTTACCTTCGGTGCCGCATGCAGCTTCAAAATCTGATCCACGATGTTAATAAATTCTTCTCGAGTCAGACCACTAGCGAATTCCTTATCGAAGTCGAGGCAACGATTCCAAATCCATGATTTTCTGAATCTTCTTGATAGAATCCCGTTCCTTACCGCTTCTTTTATCGGTAGAAATGAGAAAATATTTTCAAGGATATCGTCGGCAAGATTGATAGCGTTACTATTAGCGGATTCATGATCTGTCTTCGTTTTCTTTTGTTGTGGTTGCTGTGACATTCTCTTGCGTTGGATTCTTCTGGTAACCTCTCTGCATAAATCCTTCAGGTACCCGAGTTTTCTTTATACAAGTTAACAGTGAGATGAATAAGAAAAATCGGTACATCTGTCTAAAGAAGAGAAACAATGATCCATTTATGGGTTTCATGGGTTTATAGGTTCTTCTCTGTAGAGGAGATTTCAGCTTCGAGGATTCAATATTGCTACGTTTTCTGTCATACTAGACGGCAATTCAATAGGCAACTTAACAGTTTCCAGAAAACAGTCGTCGTAACTTATCAAGAAAGGAAAAAAAGGTATATTAGAAAAGCAATGAAAATATTTATTTCTCTAATTGCAATAAAATTAATAATTTATCTCTTTTTGGTAAAACCTCAGTACGTCATTATTAATTTACAATACCTATTATGGTTTTTTCTCCTATTTTTGAATTTCTATTTATCTTCTAAGTTATCTATAATTTAGGAGAAAAACTCTCTCCTAAATCATCTCAATTTACCCTTTCCCACACTTTTTTTCTATATCTATCTAAAGAAACTTTGAGTTCAAAAGTTTAATAATTATTTAAATATTAAAACAAAGAGAAATTGTCTAAAATTCACCATCACTTTTCAGCATTTCTATAACTTTTCAAACTATCCAGGGAACCCCATGTCACTAACCTTTTGTTTTCCAAAACTCATTATCCATCAGAGCACCGTTAATGCTCATTCCCAGAAGTTGTCCACATTAGAAAAAAATGTAATTTTTATGACCGAACTACCCCTCATTCTCCCCCCCCCCCAACCAACGAGAATATCCGATTTTAGTGTTCATCTTCTTCCTTGAGATAGTGGCAGTGAACAGAGCTCCCAACAGTAGCGGTGGCGACCTCCTCCAACTCCCTCTCAATCTCTTATTTTCTCTCTTCTCTCTTCCTCTCTCTCATTCATTTTTTTCTCTCCTTTCCGTAGACTACCACCCCTTCCCCTGTCACGGTCACTTCTGCTGAACCACCACTGTGGCATTTTTTTCTTTCCTCATTTCTCTCTTCTCTTATTTTCTCCTTCTCTCTCTCTCTCTCTCTCTCTCTCTCTTTCTCTCTCTCTCCCTCTTGATGATACTGACACAAACGTCCAAATTGTGTGAAGTCTTCTTTCCATTCTTGTTCAACTACGATTGGCTGTTTTCAAATCCTTTGAATTCTCCTTCTATTTGAACAAATAGATAGCTATACAAATCTTCAAATAATAACAATCACGATGTGGATGGTGAAATGATTGATTTTTTGATACGTGCCTTAGGAGAATTCACCCCTAAAAGCTAACTGTTAAAGGGAGGGAACCCAAGCACATATATACCACACAACAGTATCCCATACTACTAATGTGAGATATCTCACATTATCATCTCATACTACCAACAAAGGGATCATAACATTCCACACCATGCTCCACAACCCCAACACCCATGCAGGCTGGGTCCAGGGCAAGGATTAGTATCACTTTTACTTGGATGTAGAAATTAACAGTAATGCCATGTAGCCCATGCGAGTCTTCTGTTCTTTTGTTCAGTATGAAGAAGAGTAAAACCACCATTCTAAATTTTTAAAAGCGAAAGAAAGAAGAAGAAGAAAAGGTGATATGAGTTGGGTATGTAGGATGGCATATTTTCTTTGGTTTCTATTATAATGATTGTTGAAAAAATAGGAAATAGTACTGTGCAGCCCGAGATAAGAGCTTGTGAGAACAAATGAGGCTGCTCCAGATATTCTCTCTCTCTCTCTCTCTCTCTCTCTCTCTCTTCAATCTCAAAAATCTATACAGTTAGGTGGTGCTTGGTAACGTGTTCATCTCGTGGATGAACCATTTCAGTCCACACCACGAGATGAATTCCCCATTTGGTTGGATGTGGACAGGACCAGTCCACACTATATCGTGGACCAGCCCTATCTACACCCCAAATTACCGCCAACATCATTTTCTCGTGGATAGGGTCGATCCATAGTTCAAATAGTTTTGGTGCTATGCTTATCTTGCAATAATTTGTTATTTCGTTTGTTTAAATATTATTTTTTAATATTTTTATCAATAAAATAATAATTTTTATTTTTAAATTATCTTATTACTATTTTTGTTGAAATTAATATTTTTAGTTAATACTCAATTGTCAAAGCCTTTTTTTTAACTTGTTTATTATATAAATTATACAAATTAGACATTTATGATCAACTGTGTAGATTACTTCATAAACCGTATATGAGGTACATGGAATCAAAACGTGTGGTGTGGACCAGTCCACACCACGCCTACAGAACACCACTGTGGGTGTGGACTGGTCTAGTCCACACACTCTATCCACAATTTAGAACAAATGTGTTGTGGTGTGGATTCATCCCTGCACAAGGTGTGGTGTGGACTATTCCACACCCATCAATTTCTCATCTACGCTACAGAATACCCCCTTAATTGGTTTCTATTTCTCAAGCCTCTCTCTCTCTCTCTGTCTCTCCTCCCACCCATTACTATCTGAATGAAATGAGTGTAGGTTCTTTGCCTCTCCCAACCCAAGAGGACGACTCATATTTCTTTAGCTTATTTCAAGATGTTCTTGATGAAATGAACACCAATCCCAAGGAGAAAACCACCACTGGCAGCAATGTCAGTGACAATTGGAAGAAAAGGAAAGTGAGTGAAGGGATAGCCCTGATGGCAAAGTTGATGAAGAGGAAATAACGACACCCAACAACAAGAAGAAGGTTAAAGAGATTCTTTCTTCTTATCCTTTATTTTTTATTGGAGGAGCAAGAAAAAATGGACCAAGAAGAGTGGAGCAAGGATTATCAGTAGGAGAGACAACTTATTGAGTCCAATTACAAACAGAGGAACTAAGCCATGCTCTAGTCCAATTACAACAGTGTTCTCGTCTCTCTACTTCTGTTGTTGCTGTTGCCGCTGAGACGGTCTAAGACTAAAACTTACTGAGGTCTCCGCTAGTCAATTTTAGCCTAGTAGTCTATTTTTTTGCTTTATTTTTCATTTAGAACAAAAGGGTAAAATAGTAATCAACTAACATCTTTGTTAGCCTATTTAACATCAACTTATTGACACGGGGTTCCCTAGACACTTTGAAAAGTTATGGTGAGTTTAAGAGAAATGCTAAAAAGTCATGGTGAGTTTTAGGGCCTGTTTGTTTGCTCTAAAGCCTGACAACTGAAAGTGTAATAATTACCTTAAGAGAGATATTGGTATTGGTGAACTTTTCTTTCCTCTGAACTCTGAATGCAAAGAATGTTGTTATGAATTCTGAATTCTAAAAATTATCAAATATCCATTTTGACCCCATATATGAGAGTTATATGGTTGCACTTTAAGAGATAAGAGGAAACGAACAACTATTTTTCTCTTAAAGTTAAAAAATTCCTCGTAAGAGATCAGAGTTAAGAGGAAACGATAGGCCCTTAGACAATTTCCCTAAAATGAAATTATGTAACAACTTTAATTTTATGTGTAGGTGAGGTGGCGGCTAGGCCAGGGAGGTGGTCTCTTTGAAAGACAAAGAAAGACCGAGGGCAGGGGAATCAATCCGGAGGCTAGGGCACAAAGGGAGAGTGATAGAATGGGGGATCAATGATGAGGATATTCGATGATTGAATGGATTTCATTATGAGAAGGATCTCTATTTATGGGGAAAATCCCGAGATCCTAAAAGGAAGGAGTTAGAGGTATTCGTTTTCTACTAGGAAAGGGAATATTGGATTCGTTGTCAATCATTAAGGGCACTGTTGGGGTTTTGTCACGTGTCCCTATGGAGATTTTCCCGAGGATTGGCTTTCCTTTCACTCGGAGATCCTCATAACCCATGCGTGCTACTGCCCTTTGTGCGCCTTACTTGATGGACATAGCGCTAGTAACGTCACCGTCTGGTGGACAACATCTTATTAGACCTGCGTAGCGCCTTTTCACATTCGTCCCTTCGAAGTTACATGTGTAGGTAGCATCTGGGCTCGATTCTTAGTGAATCGAGGTGCCGTAGAGATTGAGGGTTTATTATAAGGCCGAGTGCATATGAACCTCATCGTGGGTTCGACCCAAATTTGCTTTGGCTTGAGCTAAGAATAGGCTCATCACGAGCGTGCGATGAATCGTGGGTTTATTGCAGACCTGCGATGCACTATGGGTTCATCGTAGAGGAAAGATTGGCTGCAGATTGATCTTAAACATCCATGTGGTATCAATCTAGTGTTTACTGTGCCTTGAGGAACTAAGTGAGCACTATGCACTTACATTATGGATTCTTCAATTCAGTAACTAATAATTTTTTAAAGATTTAAATAACAAAAGTATTTAAATATTTTAATAACAAACATTTTAAATAACAAAATACTAAAAATAGTTAAATAATTATATAGAAAAATATTCAATATTATGTAATAACTATAAAATAAATAAAACTTAAATAAGGGTTATTTATTAAAAGACCCCTATAGTTTTGTGAATTTGTTAAAACATACCCAATAGTCTGTGTTTTACTAAGGTGATGTTTAGTATCGATGATGATTCCTCCTTGCTGATTATTCAGAAATCATTGATTTTTGGAATTGGTTATTTTTGAAAAATCACCAAAAATTGTTGTTTGTTATCATTTATGCCATGTAAGTTGTTTGTTTCTCATTGATACTCAAGGGTGATTATTTTTCCTTGAAATCATCATTTTCCTAGAGACATGTAAGATGCCATGTCATCCTCCAAAAATCAAAATCACCTAAAAATTGGGAAATCACTAGACAAATTTTAGGAATCATTTTTCTGCCGATTTCCCAAAAATCACAAAAATCGAGTAACCAAATAGATTGAAAATCATCGATTCTTCTTTATCCCAGCCTGGATATATATATATATATAGAGAGAGAGAGAGAGAGAGAGAGAGAGATCCTTGAAACCATCATTTTCCTTGGAGACATGTTAGATGCCATGTCATCCTCCAAAAATCAGAACCACCTAAATATCGGGAAATCACCG